AAGTTGAGAATCAATCGATCAGACCATAATTGCTAAACCATTCGCATCACTGCCAACACTTGCAGCCGTTGGACTCGCATTCGGTACTTTGTCAGTGGACGTATCACATATATGAACTTTGCTTATATCTATTCCAAGACATCTCGCGGTTACCTGCATTCAGATGCCATTACAATTTCAATGATATTACAATTTATAAAATAAATCCACTTAGACGCCCAAGGACACGTTGCGATGAGCCTTTAGCGAAAACTTTTGGGCAAACACGGATACAGTACGAAAAATGTAGATTCATGCAGAGATGCGACGACATTCAACAGTGTTCTCACAGTGAGTAAAGTTACCCATTCTGGGTAATTTGGAGGTGTCGGGGAAGGGTCGAAAAATTAGTATTTCGTGCAGTTGTTAGTTATGATAGAACACCATCGTGATGGAGTATTTTTCAGTCGAATACCTAAACGCAGCTCGCTCACGCTCATGAAAAAGTTGATAAAATTAACATCTGCGAGAAGTATAAATGAGAGTAACCTGCCTGCATCATTTTTGTATGCAAACCTTGCCCCATTTCCATACCACCATGCGATATTAAAACTGAACCATCTCTGTAGATGTGCACCAATGCGCCTGCTTGATTGAGTTGTTTCAATCCGAATCCTATGCCAAATTTTGTTGGTGTAACGTAGATACCTCTTTTGATGAATTTATTGCTTCTGGAATGACCATCTTCAGCTGCCCTAATAGGGCATTCATCAAAAATACTTTCGTCAAAATGCTTCTTCTAATCGGATGCAGTAAATGCNGGTCAAACTTAAGTGGTCAAAGGAAATGATCGACTCACCTATTGAAATGTTTGATGTCAGTGAGACGTTTTCGATAATCGCTCAGCTCAAAGCATTCATCCCAACATCGTCGAATGTTACACTGTCTCAGATGCATTCCAAATGGTGTACATTCACCTTCTTTGTACAAATTCTTGCCTCGAATCTGTGACAGCAGTTACACATTACTGAGCAAACATCTGCCTCAATGAACACAGATACGAATTGAATTTAACTGATTCGTATTTAATTAATTTATGTCATCGTGTCCTATAACAATCAATTAACTGCTCACTTCATTAACATCAAAACCACATTGTTCAGCAATCTGTAGCATCATGGTTTCGGTTGCAAACATTCCTTGCGGTCCGCCAAAACCACGGAAAGCCGTATTGGACGCGAGATTTGTACGGCACATGCGACCACCAATTTCAGCATTTGGGAAACGGTAAACGTTATCGAAATGTACGATGGCGCGCTCTGAATATGAATCGATCGAGGAAATATTGATTGAAAAAGCGGAGCCGTTACTTTAACTGATTCGCAGTATTCCTTTGCGAAAATGATTCGTTTGCATGGTTGTTCACACCATAAAATGAGTGATAATTTTAGAATGATTGGTGTATTGAATGAGCAATAATCCATGAGAGGTTTCACTCACGAAGAACACCTGTCGACAGGTCAAACGAATGTCCACAATTGCTGAGCAGTTCGGCGTTTACGTTCAGAAGTTTGCCATCCTTATTGACGCCAACCTTGTAGTTACATTTGAACGGATGTCGCGTTCCTGAGATGGCCATATCATCGTATCGCTCTGGAGTCAACTTGATCGTCTTT